CCTCCCCAATCTTGCCAGGCCACCACATCGAGATTTGAGGTTTGCAACGAAGAACCCTACCATATCCGCGTCAGTCTCTGCGGAGGCGCCACTACAACCTGCAGCATAAACTTCATTCAAAGTCAAATACATGGAGAGGAGAAGGCCATCCGTGCAGTGCCCCGGATCCAGCGGCCCGGCGGCAACCTCAAAAATTTTCCTCGCTCGTAGTGTACACGGTGACACTGCGCTCCTCGGTTCCTTGCAGAAGGGATGCTCCCTCCAGACATTGACAGGTCTCGGCCGTGGCTCACTTGGCTGCTACTGTGCGTGCGCGAGAGTTCGATATTTGGCCCAAAGTGGTCTCATTCAACTGGGTCTCATTTCCTCCGTGCCGGTACGCCGCTCAGCCCGGAGCGCTCCATGTCTCCCGCTTCCGCATGCCCAACTGCCACGCGGTGTTGACGACCGTCCTGTGTTATCCTATCGTCCACCACGTTCACAACGCCCTCCCAGCTCGGTGGGCTAGCGCCCCGCCGGTGCGAGGTCTATTGCTTTGGCTTTCGCCGCGCTTTCTGCTAGTCGACGGGTACCTGCGCCTCCCTACATAACGCCCACATACCGCCGCATGGGAAATGGTCAAGCTCCAGGCGGCGCGGTGGCGGCTCGTACAACGGCGCCACAGATCGAATACAAGCGAGAGGAAAATTGTGCAACGGGCGGGCGCTTTCGGCCTGGCTGGCCATTGAGTGATATCATGATCCCCTTTGCGTTAGCATCTCCATGCCAACATTATGGACGCAGCGGAGAGTAATTAACCAAGCCAGGCGTGAGCGTGAACATGTGACTCGATACATCAATGAAGCCCCGGTGTGCAAAATCGTCCATCAAATAATACCAGAGACAACGAGTTGGGCAGTCGGAGGTTGCTCAGCGACAACCTCTCTGCGATACGAAGCCTGATAGCGTGTCGCACAAACTAGACCGCACTTGGTTGCAATGGGACCATGGTAGCACAGAGGACAAGACACCGAGACAATGAGTCAAGTAGCCTAGATCCTCCACCACCTGCTCAGAGCCTCAGACCACGCTCTCCTCCCACGGGTCGCACAGCATGTAGTCTTCACTCCAGTGACTCTGAGACAAGTCTCAGTATTCCGCCATGCTCGTAAAAAAAAGACTCCGCTTCCACTTCTCGCACTTGGTCTTGGCAAGCATCCCAGCAGGGCAGCTTTATGGTCAGTACGAAGCTCGATAAATTGTACCTTGTGGTGCGTAGACTTGGAGACGGAAGCAGTCGTGTTGGCAACGCCAGTGAACTCCTCGTTTCTTTCTAGACGCTGCCTTCTACCAAACGGGTTTGCTCTTGTGCGCGATGCTCCCAAGACTCAGGCTGCCGCAGTTAGGAAAATTACAATCATAGCTGGGAGCTGTTTGACATACTAGGAGCTCTACCAATGATCTGCATCTCTCTATTTCTCTATCTCTATTCTATCTCCATCCCTCTTTGCGTCTCCATCTCTACCCCTGTCTTCGTCCCTGCCTCCGTCTCTTTTCCTCCTGATGTAACCTACACACGCTTGAAATGCACCTCTTATTCGTGAGTGAATGAGACGAGAATGGGGATGTTTGTCGAGGAAAGATGCTTATTGGGGTGTGTTATTTTGATCTATTTGATGCAAAACATGTCATCTTTAAGTCCTCTGTCTATTGCGTTCCTGACAAAATGATAGCCATCACAACCCAACGTTGAAACGGCCGGTTTCCTGGAGATCCTTCAAAGCCTCAATATTGGCGCCAAGGAAGGCAGCTCGCATCTTCTCACTATCGCCTTCCTCCAATATGCCCACTTCCATCACGTCACCAACTCCATGTTCCCAGAGCTCTCTGATAGGAAGGTCGAGTGGCATATTTGGGAATCGCAAGAAAAATGATATCCCAAACTCCGAGAGGACGATATCTCTGACTCGGTGTGTAAGGCAATAACCAATCCCCTGCTTCGAGAGATTGCTCGATCCCACATCGAGCTTGATCGCCTCCGGCGTATTCACCTGCGAACCCCGCGCTCTCATGCGGTTATGGACGGCGACCGGGAGGGGGAGAGGTGCAGCTGCGGCCTTGATGTTCTTGACGCGGGAGGCCAGAATACCCGTTCGCTTCATCTCAACGCAAGTGAGGCATACAGATTTCGCCTCGAGACTCGCGTGTTTGAGATCGATCTTTCGGGCGTCTGCGGGATCCAGGACAACAATCATGTCAGGGCGAACCTCGACGTGCGACCTGCTAATAGGGCTTACTCGGACACTGGGTAGCGACGACATCCGTCTCCTCTTGGTCGGTCTGGTGCTGCGGTTACTCGTCGTCGCCTTGTTGGCGTCGCTCTTGGCCTTGCCGCTGGCGGCGGCGATGGCGGGATCAGGCTGGGGTTTGGGGATGGACGGAAGGCGTAATTGGTGCTCCCACGTGCATTTGACGTCGTGGGTGTCCGATTCTATGATATGGGCGAGGCACTCCAAAGTCGGGTGGGCAATATGGGTATGAAAAAGCACCACGTTGTCTTGCTCGGCGTTCCTCTGTAAGACGCTGCCACCCTCGGCGACCAGGTGCTGGTTGATACCCGATCCCAGGACCTTCTCCTTGTAATCCTCTGCAAGCTGAGTGTATTTGGACATATCCATTAACTTGATGTTTTGCGGTATGGTCCGAGTTGTTGCTGTGTAGCTGATGGATGTTGGAGTAGTCTTTCGGGCTCCAACGGAATAGCGGGGGAGACGGTGCTGATGCGAGAAAACGGCATCTGTCGTGCTGAGCGGTACGGATGACATTGCGAACAAGGGTTTAAGTGAATGTTTGGTACCAGTCGTAGTAGGGTTGGGATGACGAATTACAAAGTCAGATAAAATGACGATGAGAGACTGGCGGGAAGGTGAAGATGGCGAGAGGGTGAAGATGGCTAGAGGGTGAAGATGGCGAGAGGGTGAAGATGGCGAGAGGGTGAATATGGCAAGAAGATGAACTTGGCAAGATGAAGTTGAGAAGATGAACTTGGCAAGATGAAGTTGGCGAGAAGGTGAACTTGGCGAGAAGGCCTGCGGGTTCGGTAGAGTTAAGATGGTAAAGCCGTAAGTACTGGCAACGAGGAGATTCTGACGCCGGGCAGCCTCCTTCCTATCTTGAGAACGTCTGTGGACTCAAATCCCTACTGTTTGGCCATGCCATGAATTCCGTGTTCGTAGCCTGAGAGTTTACAAGACAGATGCTCAAAGTAAGTCGCAACACTCCCCTCAAACGCAGTCAAACTGGGAGAAAAAGGAAAACAAGTGAACGTCACCATCAGAGACTCCATTGTGAGAATAGCAAACAGAATGAAGAACAGCAAATAGAAGCGAATAATCTCACCAAATTCACCAAAACCGGTGAGACTTGTCGGCTGGCATCCGTATCTGCGCATACCCTTTACAGACATGAAAGCCAAGGATAATTTCAAATTCAGCCTTGGGATGGGCTCAGGCACTTGGTTCATCACGATTCGCTGGGCGGCAGACAAAGAGACGGTGAGCTGCGCAGGACGAGGTATGCCGGGACACGTCTCGTCTATTCCACAGGTCGCAGATGTTTGCCATCCACCACGGACACGTGTGTTAGTCTTGTCTATCACCACGGTAGACATCGGCGTTTTCTGACCCGGCGATTTATGAAGTCTAGGGTGACCGAGTTGAAGCGGGCCTGGTATCCATGATCCTGTCTGTTACCACGTGTCTCTGCTAGGCAAGGCCATCCTATCCGTTGGTACAAACGAGAGACACGAGTAGTCTAATAACACACGACAAAAGATAGGCAGCAGACGGGTTGCAGCGGAAGAGTGCCGAAGAGAGTGTTTTCCATGTCCTTTGCCGCTTGGTGAAGATATCACGTAGATGGCATGGCAATATGCTTGCCACGCTTTCTCACACTCAAAGATCTCCCCAAACCATTCTTTGCTCGGCAATTAAACTACTCAATGGGGGGCTCAGTCTTCGTCACTGTTTTCATTGTCAATTTACGTTGCGCTCTTCTAAGCCGGTCTCGGCTTCATTTCCGTCAAGATTTGTGTCGTTGGATCCAATATCTACACCTACACGGGTTATTCCGCGTAGAGTACGCATGGGGTCGTGAAATATTTGGGGAGTATGCTCAACTTTACACATTTGTTCCGGAAAGATTCCTCCAGCATCCAACTCGACATGTCGAAATACAATAGCTGGCAATTGATCCAGTGGGCCATCGACACCCACACGATCAACGGTAAGCCAAGGTAGCACACTTACACGGCTGTCGGTAGCAATTCCGTAAGAGTCACTGCACCGCAATGCAATATGGGTCTCCAGAGCAATCACGGCATCTCAACGTATCGCGTCACGTGCGCAGGGTCCTTCCAGTATTGAAGGCTGCGAGCCGTGGTACCGCCATCACCGGCGCCACGGCTGTCACTTGCCTGGCCGCATCCTGACGAGATGAGACTTGCGCACATTTAGACAAAACACCACTACGGTCTGTCTGAGCTTGTCTGCCTTATGACGTGGTAACAAATGACATTGCCGGCCGTGCTTTGACAAACAGACCAAGGCACCTTAATGGGTTTGAGATGACAAAGTGGGGTAACGACCAAGAGACCTGGTAACTGAATTGATCTCCTCTTCCTCTGTGTGACTTTCATGGCTGGCTGCACCTTGACGGACGGTAAGGTAACGTGCGAAAACTTTTCAAAGTTGTAGTATATACGTGGGAATACAGCGCCACCCAGAGTCCGGCATGTCCACACAACCGATATTTTTGGAGAGCAAAAGCAAGCCACCAAGGAGATATCTCCGTTTGCTTCACCCAAATCCTTAATTGGGGCCACCCACACCCAGTCATCCTGCCATCCCATCTCAACTCCCTCTCTACAACTCCTCTTCTGACCACGCCTCTGCTACCTATCTTGAGTTCACTTCATCTCAGCCTCTATCCGTTCCTCATCCTTACTGTCGATACTGCCCATCATGGTCATGTCCGCCTTTGACAGATTCATGGACTCGCAGTTCGCCAAATATGATCCAGGAAAAACGCTGACGCTCTATCCCCACAAGGTAGTCGAACCATATGGCCTGGAACATTACGACAACCCACCGAAACTGGCTGTTCCAGAGGGCCATCTCCGTGACTTCGATCCCAAGGCTCACAGCCCCAAGACACGCGGCTCTGTTGAAGTCATCGAGCTTCTATCAGGTGGCATCGGCGGCGGCGCTCAAGTCCTGCTGTGCAAAGTTTCGGAACAACCCGCTGAATACAGACCGTCCCACGCTCCGTTCCCGGAGCCGCAAAGATACGTCGTCGCCAAAATCTTCGATCCCATGTTCTTCCCGGGCGACAATGGAGTCCTCTCTGCGCTGGCTGGGAACGATGTTCTCGCCGAGCAGCTCCTGAGCCGCGAGTCCGGAGCGTACGAGTACCTCTACGACAGGGGAAAGCCCAAAGCCCCTCCATCCGATTCCAAGGGAAAGGGCAAGAAGCAGGAAACCAGGAACACAATTACCGGTCACCCCAACCTCATCCCCCAGTACTACGGAACCTGGGCCATCAGGTTTGGGATGGGCAAGGGCAAGTACAGGGAGGCCGGCCTGGTTCTGATGGAGTACATTGAGGGCCACGCCATTGAAGAGCTTTGCTATAGGGAGGAAGACGACGGCTATCTTCTCCCGGTCACCGAAGAGGTCATCTTCCACGACTTCGCCGGCTTGGCAGGCACGATCCAGCCCAGGAAGGTAAAGTTAACCGAGCCTTTCCGGCTGAAGGCCTTTCGCGAGATACTCCATCATCTCGTGGTCCACATGCACCTCGGCGTGGAACACGCCGACTTCATCCCGGCAAACGTCATCATCACCCTTCGCAACCACGGGGGAGTCACCGGTGTACGCGAGCTAGATGAACCGCGGCCCGTCTTGCTTGATCTTACCCTGACAAAGGTATGGCGCAAGACAAAGTATGCGCAAGGCCCCGGCATGGGGCGGCACTGTCTCGAGTGGCTTCCCAACCCCCCTCACCCAATGGAACGAGCGTCTCCCCAGGGTATGGAGCTGTACATTGGCTGGTTCGACGCCGAGTGGTCGAAAGAGCGGTTCGAGGAATGGTTGGTGCAAGAGTTTGGCCCTCTGGAGGAAGGCTCGGAGGAAGGCTCAACTGGAAAGTACTCTACGTTTGCCACGCTGGATAAGTTAGAGGCCGATTATTTCAAGAAGAAAGATGAGAAGGCGAAGGAGAAGATGAGAGCTGAGCAGGACGAGGCAGTCAGGGTCATGGCTTCTGCGAGTCACAAGGCCAGCGACGAGCGCGATGGTGGGCCGGCATCGTCGGCGAAGGAGGAGTCGACAGCTCAGCAGGACAAGGCAGTCAGAGTCATGGCTTCTGCGAGTCACAAGGCCAGCGACGAGCGCGATGATGGGCCGGCATCGTCGGCGACATTGAGCATCAGGCCCTCTCCGCGGGCCAACTGGCGCGCGCAAGACTCACAAAGCCGAGCAAACCCTCCCTCCACAAGCCGTCGACAGCAGAACCGATCCGACGAGTCCACCTCGACGGAGAGTGGCGAAGAAGGCATCCCACGCAGCTTGTACCGGAAGCTCCAGGAAGCGAAACTCGCAGCCAGCGAGAGCAGTTTTGGCAGCTCGCCCTCCCCTCGGTCGACGCCCCGCTCGGCGCAGAAGCCGGTGGAGAACGAGGAGGAGATGGATACCATTGAGGAGGAATAGGAAAGTTACTCAAGTACCTTGGGCTGGGAATAGAGGACTTGGATTGTGTTGGATAAGATTAGATTGGGTGGCCATGTTCATGTTGTCTCCAGATTGACCAGATTATTGAGACGTGGGTTTCGTTGCCTTGCGATTTTGAGAGGTAGACCAAAAAAATAAAAGGTTCTATCACCAGTGCATCCTCTTTCCTACTGCTGTTCAAGAAAAGTGCATTCCCCAAACGCGTGGCCACCACGTCTACATTCCCACCAACGCCACACACCACCTCGGCCATGTTAGAGCGTGCTATCAATTGACTCGACGTCTTGGCACCATCACATATAATAGGATACAGCCCAGACAAGGCCAGAGGCATGTGACCTAGCCATAGTCCGGTCCAATCCGGCAAGACCAGGCATCACATCCACAGTGCCTAACTCAACCTCTGTCCCGCCACCACATCACATACAGTCACACGTAGGAAAGCAACGCAAGCATTTGAAAGATGAAAATTACTTCTAAGCGAGTAGGTACCACGAGTACCCACGGAGGGGAGTCTATTCTCTCAACCCTGCCCATTAAACCAAAAGGCTACATACAATACCCCGACATTTCTCATCCATCTAACCCCCTTTTTGTTTTGACGTTGACGAACGTCTTTGGCAAATCTCTCTTGTGAACGAGTCAAAACGCCAAATGATGCAGAAAAAAAAAAGACATGGACCAGTGTGATGATCCGGATATCTCTAGAGGCGACGCAATGAGGCCTCAGCAAATGCAACACTCGCGACAAACCAAACAAACAACTTCTCACGCGCATCCATACCACGTCTAGCTGTTCTTCTCCAGGGACTGGAGGTTGACCAGCTCGGCATAGCGGCCGTTCTTCTTCATGAGCTCGGCGTGCGTACCTTGCTCGACAATGCGACCCTGGTCAAACACGTAGATAATGTCGGCCTTTTGAATGGTGCTGAGACGATGCGCGACGGCAATCGTTGTGCGGCCCTTGGCGGCCTTGTCGAGGGCAGCCTGGACGACGTGCTCGGACTCGGAGTCGAGGGCAGATGTGGCCTCGTCCAGCAGCAGGATCTTGGGATCACGGATGAGGGCGCGGGCAATGGCGATACGCTGCTTCTGACCTCCAGACAAAAGAGCGCCCTTGCTTCCAACAACCGTGTTGAAACCCTCGGGCATCGAGACGATAAAGTCGTAAATGTTGGCCTCGCGACAGGCAAACTCGATGGCCTCGTCGGTAACCTCTGTGTGGGCACCGAGCAGAATATTCTCCCTGATTGTGCCCTGGTACAGGGTGGGCTCCTGACTGACGAGGGCGATGAATGAGCGGTACTCGTTGACGTTGAGCGTGCTAATCTCCTTGCCGTCGACAAAGATGGCGCCGGAAAGCGGGTCGTAGAAGCGCTCGAGAAGGGCAATCGTGGTAGACTTGCCGCAGCCGGACGCTCCGACAAGTGCGACGTACTGGCCGGGGCGAATGACGAGGTTGAGTCCGCGGAGGACGGGCTGCTCGGGTCTGGTTGGGTACCGGAAGTGGACGTCGCGGAACTCGAGGGTGCCGTCAACGGCGTCGAGAGAAGCGCCCTCCTTGGACCAGGTGTCGATGGTCGGCTTGCGGTCAAAGAGAATCTTGAGCTCGTTGGCGGCCTGGTGAGCCTTGCCCATGTCGGGAGCAAACGAGAAGATGGAGCCAGCCGACTGCGCACCAAAGATGACGGCAGAGAAGCAGACGAAGAACTGGAACATGTTGTACTCTCCATTGGCGATGAGGGTACCACCGTACCAGAAACCAAGGGCAAAGGCCAGGAACATGAAGGACTGGGACGCGGCGAACAGCAAGCTTGACTTGAGGATCGAGATGAGACTGGCGCGCTGTTGGATGGCCAGGGAAGTCTGGTACTGGCGTATGACGTCGTCCTCGCGCGTGAGCGAGGCAACGGTGCGGATGGCCGAGATTGCCTCGGATGCGTAGCTCGCCGAGTTGGAATAGGCAGTCTTGGAGCGGCGCTGGAAGTGGGCGAGCATCCAGAAACGGAAGAAACCACAGCCAATGAGGATCGGGATGGTTGCAGTACAGACGAGGGCGAGCTTCCAGCCAATGGCGATGGCGAGCGCCAGTGCAGCAACCAAGGTTGTTGTGACCATGAGCAGGGTGCCGAGGGTGACGCCGCTAAGTCCGGCCAAGTGGGTGGTCTCGGTGGACAGGAAGGAGGTGAGCGCGCCGGCCGTGTTGGAGTCCTTGTCAAAAAAGGCAACGTCTTGGCGAAGCATGGTGCGGAAGGCCTGGTCACGGACGCGGTGGATGAGGCGCTCGGAGCACTTTGCAAAGGCGATTCCCTGGATGACAAAGGCAATGAACTGGACGCCGGCGAGCATCAGGTACATGGCGCTCCAAAAGTCGGAATCCTTCTTCATCTGGTGGAGGGTCTCCTGGGTGGTCTGCGGGGTGATGGGAACCGACAAGGTCATAATCTGCTTGGCGAAGAAGACGGCCTGGGTAGGGTTGCCACCACCGCAAATGATGGAGAAGACAAGACCGATGAGCATGAGCTTCCACTCCTTTTGGTTGAACGAGGCGATGAGCTTGATGAGGGTCCACAGACTGTACTTGACCTCACCGTCGTCCTTCCGGTTCTGGAGGGCAATACTGGACAGAGACTTGGAGGTTGTTGTTCGCTGCAGTTTGGCGGCCATGTTGTCTTCCGGGTCGGCAACGTAGCCCTTGTCGGAGGCGCGCGAGGCTTTGCGGATGATCTCGTCGTCTTCGGCGTCAATGGCTTCTTCCTCCTCGGCGTCCATCTCGTTGACGCGGGCAATGTTCTGGGCCGTGACGAGGTTGTAGTAGGCGCCCTGCTTGGCGAGAAGGTCGTTGTGGGTACCCTGCTCGACGATGCGGCCGCTGGACATGACGACAATGTTGTGGGCATCCTTGATGGTGGACAGACGGTGGGCAATGGTGATGGTGGTTCGGCCCTGGGAGGCTACTTCGAGAGCGGCTTGCACAACGCCCTCGGACTTGGTGTCAAGGGCAGAGGTGGCCTCGTCGAGAAGCAGAACTAGGGGGGATTAGCAAAGGGACATAGATAGGAGGTGCAGAGTCGACGTACTCTTGGGGTTGGACACGACCGCTCGCGCAATGGCGATGCGCTGCTTTTGGCCACCGGAAAGTAGGAAACCGCGCTCGCCGACGTTGGTGAGGTACCCTTCGGGGAGACCGCTAATGAAATCGTGAGCGTTTGCCATTTTCGCCGCCTCCTCGATGAGCTTCTTCTGCTCCTCCTCGGACGCGTTCTCGTGCTGGGTACCAATGAGACCGTATCGGATGTTCTGGTAGATGGTGGTCGCGAACAGAGTGGGCTCCTGGCTGACGAGCGCCATTTGCTGACGCAGCCAGCGCAGGTTAAGGGTGCTAATGTCGTGGCCGTCCAGAAACACTGATCCGCGGACGGGGTCGTAGAACCGCTCGACGAGACCGACAATGGTACTCTTGCCGGAGCCCGAGGCGCCGACTAGAGCCGTGGTCTTACCCGCAGGAATGGTCAAGCTCACGTCGTCCATGACCGTGACCTCTGGGCGAGACGGGTAGATGTGCTTAATGTTCTCGAGGCGGATTGTGCCTTCGACCTGCTCGAGCTTGGTTCCGTCGTCGCGGGAAGGGTCCAGGGGAGAGACGCGGTCAATGGTGTTGTAGATCTTGGCGGCCGCCGCAATGGCAGTGGTGAAGGCCTGGACGTTGGGGGCGACGTTTCCGAGGTTAAAGGCACCAATCATGATGGACATCATGATGATGAGAATGTTGGACAGCTTGATGCCGTCGTCGATGAGGAACTTGCTTCCCTGCCAGAACGCGAGACCGTAGTTGAGGTACAGAATGGTCATCATCAGCGCGACCATGACGCCAATGGCGGACTTGACCTTGTAGCCAAAGAACTCGGCCTTTGTGAGGTGCGCATCGTACTGTTTGGCGAGGCGGTCCTGGGTGCCAAAGGCGACGGCGTTGCGGATGGAGCTAATGACCTCGTCGGCCAGACTGCCTCCGTGGGCGTACGACTCGATGGACTGCTTGCTGTACTTGACGATAAAGGTCGAGCCGCCTCCCATGCTCAGGAGAAGGGCGACAACAGTAGACAAGAGGATCAGGGTGAGCTTCCAGTAGTGGACGAAACCAATGACAAAGGCCGAGATGAAGGTGGCGATGGCGGCAAGCGTAAGGCCGACCTTTTCCGAGATACCGTCCTGGATCAGGTTGGTGTCGGCGGTGATTCGGGTCGTCACCTCGCCGGCGCCCAATTTGTCGAAGAAACCAATGTTCTGGCGCATGCAGCTCTGGAGGTAGTGCTCGCGAATCTTTGCGCTAATGTGCTCTCCCGTGTCTAATTTTGGTCTTGCGTCAGATTTAGACTCACATCCTCCCGCCGGGGCGCAAACTTACAGATGAATCCGACCGTGGTGATGTACTGGCACACAAAAACACCAATGGCGAGGTAGACAAAGTACAAGACAAGGCTCGCCATCTCGCTGTTAAAATCGTCCTTGGACGTCGTGCCGGCAAAGTAGTTCTGGAAAGTGCCCTGCAGGTTACCAAAGATGACCGTCATGAGCGGCAGTGCGGCGCCGACCACGATGGAGGTGAAGGCGGAGAGAGAGAGGATGAGCAGGTCGTTGGTCGAAGAATACCGGTACAGGGTCATGATGCCGGCCTTGACTTCGGGAGTGAAGACCTGACGCTTGAGGATCGCGGCCTCATTGGCGGGCAGGTGCTCGTAGGGGTCATCGCTGGGGTCTTTTGGTGCGATAGCCTTGGAGTCGGCCTTTTCGAGATTGCTGGTGATGTTGGCCGTCTGGTTCTTAGGCTGGATTGATGCATCCACTTCGGTCGAGTCGCCATGGGACGATGCCCTGTCAGAGTGGCCGTTGCTGGCTGTCTTCTCAGCCACCTCTGTTGACTTTTCGCTTGCCCCGACGGGCTTCTCGTTTTCGAGAGACATGCTGGCGCCGTGTCTCCTGACAGAGCTGTGCGCAGTGTGTGGAGAAAGCTTGTTGCGCCGGTATGCGCTGTGCGCAAGCGGGTTGGGATGCGATTGTCGGGTTCCTATACGTGAAGTGTCGTCGCTCGTTTGATTTGTATATTACGGCTTGGGTAGGTTGGTCCGACGACGAGATCCGAATCGTTCTCCCCTCGAATTACAATCAATCCTATGTGATATAGACAGACCAGTGAATGGAAGGGCGGAGAAAATCTACCACGGCGAAAGCCAAGAAAGAATTCGCGGCGATCGGAGTCGGGATCGTCGTTGTCGCGCGCAGACAGGCGAAAGAGCGGGAAAATAATACCTGCAGTCGATTTGACGTGCCTCCCTCGACAATTAATAAAACAAGACGAGGACGGATAGAGAAAAGAGGCGTGTTCCCACTCGGGTTGCAGGCCAGGATAGGGATTAGTGGAATTGTCGCAAAGGCGTGGACTGGAGAATAAAAAAAAAAAGTACCCAGGACCTTGGCGAGGGACGGACTGGGGTGTGCACATTTGATATAGATGGACGGCGGGCCTAGTGGTAGGACGTGACCGGGGTGGCACGCCGCAGGAGAGAAGGAGAAGGAGACGACTACTAGCACAAGGAAGAAATGGGGGCAACCGGCTTGGACGAGATTCGACGGAATGCAGCCGACCCGTTCTGACCTCGCTCTTGTCAACTTCCCGACCTGTGACTAGCTCGGTTCCTTGCGTACCTCTACCATGCCCGAACCGCGCCGCCTACATGCGTGTTTATCGTCCATCTCATGTTGACTCACTGGCCCGCCGCTCATCATCAGACGAGAGACAGGAACGGGGAGGGACTTTGGTACGGATGGCTACGAGGAGGAGCACTTGTTTTGTGCGATCCCTTCCCTCTTGGGCACGCCGATATCAATGCCGGTGACAGTCATCCGGGAACGATGATGCCCGACTATCTTACTGTGGTAGATTCTATAGGGCTTTCTGTTAGTTGGTGCGGACAAGGTACTCGTACTGGTATACGCAGTACTCACATTGGCCTATTCGGTCTTGCTAGCTGGGTTCGCAGGGCATCGAGTGCGAAGTGCGAGCTGTGGGACCGATGAGCAGCAGTCGCAGCACGTTGCAACGCACTGATGATTGCAGCCAAGGTTGTGATACCGCAGCTTGCGCAGTAAACCAACGCTGCACGTCGGGCCTGCCCCGGGGTTCAAGAGCCAAGAGGGACCGGAATTCAATGGTTGGCGCACACAGCTCTACCTCAGGTACAGATACGCAGTACTTCATTGTTCAGCAAACTCCACAATGCTAAGAGTTGGACAGGTTGCCGGCAGGCTTCAGCTCTCTCCTTCCCCTTCTCCGCTCCTTCTTTCCTGTCTTGGTATACTTTTGCCCAGGCTGCCTTCCGCGAGATATTCTGGGGAAAGAGGCTTGGAGACGGGAGGCAAGTACAAAAGTTCAAAGTACATGCATGCGCCTTAGTCATTCGCAGAAACAGGCAAGCACTGCGTCCTCTTGTGAATCGACGCTACCGTTTTGTGGACCTCCTCCTCACCTTCCAAAGTTCCTTTCTTCAGACTCGAATGATTACGATTAATCCTTCGTATCTCGCTTCATCCACGTCCCCGATACGCCTCAAGATATACGTGTAATGGACAAAAGTCAAAACTCAGCTTTCACCGGGCCCCAACGCTTCCAATCAGCAACCGATCATGTTTCGTCCGTATACTCGACCGTGTCGACAAACAATCCCAGCACGCCGGTCCAGCAATCGAGGAAGAACACAGTCTCGGAGAAGCCGTGCATTGGGCTTCCGACCTGCACGTCATGTTCGGATCATCCACCGGCCAAAAACAATAGGGAGCCAGGCAGCTGCTGTCGAGGTAAGCACTGGCAAGCAGGTACATGCGACAGTGTACTTCGTACTCGTCCTAACCCGTTCTGTCTCACCGTAGTCCAAGTCAGGCCCGTGTCTCGCTGCCGCCCCCGGTCGAGTCAGCCGGCGTGGTAATACCCAGCCCAGCGCCTCGCTTAGCGACCTACGCCGCTACGCTTCCCCCCGCCAGCAATACTATTCTGCGGCTTTGCCCCTCCCTCGGGTTTCTTCAGCAGTCCGAATTCCGATCCATTTCATTTCCTATCCACGGTTCCTTGACCAGCTTCCAGAAAATTACGACGTACCCATCCCTTGCGGCTGCTCTTTCAGCTTGGAGGGGTGTCGCTACGTGTTACAGCGAGTATACCCCGCCATAAGCACACACGCACCCAACGAATAATCTACCGATACACTACGGAGTATCCATCCTTTGATGACAATGGCAATCCCTCTCATCTTTCGCCCGTCTAACGGTGACGAGGGCATGGCGGGCCGGGTCCCTATCCCACCTATGTCCGGACCAGTCCTGAGGCGCCGGCGATAACGTTCCCTCGGGCCCCGATCCTGTGGGTCTGCGGAGGGGAGTGCGAGCGATTCAATAGGGGGCCCAGCGGATAAACCGTAAACGGTCCTTGGCCCTGGGTCGGCTATCCGCGCCGAGCTCTCTCGTTCCGGCGGCTGGACGATTACGACGCTTCGTTACTCTGTCATGGGTGCCGATGTCGTTGAAAACGAGATACGAAATGCAAGTGCTTACAATCTAAAGGTACAGAGTTTGAACTGCGATTCGTGATGGCTGCCAGGATTGTGCTTCGGCCAATGGGTCGTCTTCCAGTGTTGTGGACGGGACGATCTGGACTCGGCCCAAAGTTCCCTGATTCTCAGGAGCGGTGTACTGCCGCGGTCACCTATGGAACAGGCCGTCTCAAACACCTGTTGGTTTAGACGAGCTGCTGGACTTCAGACTTTGAAGGGTCCCCGCAGCCCTCTCACGCGCACCCCAACAGGGGTGAGCCTTGGACAGAACGCAGATGCTGTCATTGATCGAGGTCTCAGGCCAGCACAAAGGCACGCGTAACGTTTGAATACGCGGGCTCGGATATGATCGATTAGAGATGGCAATTGATTACTAGGCAAACTACCTGGACGTCTGACAATGCCAGTCGGATCGCGGAGTGCATTGTCGCCGCCGTAGCTAATGTACTAGTGAAGAGGGCCTCACGCTACACTGAATCGCGGGCGTAACACAGCTACTCTTGTCCCGTACGGCGGGTATTTTTGCGCCGTTCCCCGATCGACCAGCTAGGCCGTATATGCTCGCATTCTCTTAGCAGATGCGAGCCGTCGCTTGTTTCAACAACCCACTATCCCACGGCGGTCAGCAATCGTCGGTCTCCCGGGACGCCACAAGACACCGCCAAATTCTCCGGGCCCTACCCTGACCGGATGGCTGCCAAAGACGTACCGCAACCCCGGGACGGGTCAAACGTGGAGTGACAGTGACACGTGTGCCATCTACATCTTGAGGCGCGTGGAAGCCTGGTGCAATACGGCCAGTTGAGCCTCAAGCACCGCTATGACGAATTCCTCCGGTTTGCCTTGGCCGGCGCCGTCGATCATCCGCAGGTAGTCTTCCCGCTTCAAGTCCCGGGTGACGACGGGACTGTAGCCCTGACGCGCCAGGTAATCCTGCTTAACCATGCGACTGGTACGCCCGTTGCCATCGGGAAACGGATGAACGAGAACATAGTAAGCCGTCATCTGACAAGCCAGAATCAGCGGGTGCAGCGCCTTCTCTCGATGCTGCAGGTTCCGCCATTGGAAGAACCTCTCCATGCAAGCCGGGACCTCTTGCGGGTACGGAAAGATTCGAAGACGATTGCTGCGTACGCTGATGGGTAGATCACGGTACTCTCCCAGCGGGACTTTCGATCCCCATACCAAGTTGCCGCCAGCCTTTTTCGAGTCTGTTCTCCAGGTGTCATAGGCCGACTCGGAGTCTGTATTGACGACGGACACCACGGCGAGGACTCGTACTTCAACTTCGCACAGTCCTGCTATACCAGCCTTGGCCGCCGCGTTCTCTGCGACCCATTGCGATGCGATGATGTGGTTCTGCAGCTCATGCGTGGCTGACTCGATGACGCCTGCGCCTCTTGGAGCAGTCCACGCCGTCACAAGTCTGGCAAGCTCGCTGCTGGGCGTGGAGGCAAGGCAAACTTGTTCAAGACCACCACGCAGGCTTTCGAAATTGCGGATCGAGTCTTTCACTGAAAGAGGGTTGTTTTCAATCATTACGGACTGCTGGGCGCACTCGGCAACCAGGGTTTTCCCTAGGGCCCGTCACTGGCAGTCTGCCTCTGAGGTGATCGATTTCACTCAGCAGGCCCGTCAGTTTCCGCTGCACATCGACGTACCCCATCTTGAGGCTGTTGCCGGGCATAAAGTAATCTTCCCATACCCGTCCGGAGCGCGCCAGCCTTTCGTACTCGACAGAGCCTTTCTGCAAGTGGGCGGCTGGTTTGAAAATCTTCTTGAGCAGGGCAAGACGCGCCTGCTGCGTGCTGGACAGAATCCGATTAGACATTATGAGGTACTCAGTATGTTCAGCAGCTTTGCAATGCGTGGATTTTTGTACTATGTAAGTTGGCGGTGCTGATCAAGGGTGGTCCTGGTAGGTTGCATGGTGATTCATCCGGTGTGCATGTGTCTTCACAGGTCAACCTTTTCCCAAGCAATGGACGCAGAGGTGAACCTGCCTGAACATACGAACCTTGTGGTATCCGAAGCGCGCAAGGTGTTGGCATTTGACACGGGAAACCATGGGTCAGCGCTCGCAGCTCCAGAGTCTCTTGCCGATGGATCGCCGTCGTCGGTGCCGAGTTGGCGAGATCCAGGCGCTGTTTGAAGTCTATCGCACACGACTGAAGACTTTTGTTTCTGCTGTAGTCGGAGCTGTCTCTTGTCGGCCCCCTTGATCATCCCTTACCTAGAAAACCGTTGAAATGCGGGCGTGAGAATCGGTTCATGCTAGCAGAGCTGGACCAAAGTCGAATGCCCGTTTGACGAACCCCACCACCAGCCTCGGACCACGTCCAAACAGGCGGGAGGTTCACAAGCCAAAGAAAGGCTCTGCGGAGGCCCAACGAGGCAGGAGGGGAAAAGGGACCAGAGCACGGTCCCCGTCCCTTTTTGACGTGCATGCCTATGTAGGAGAGGAAGAGAAAGGAAGTAACGGCCAGTGGAAATAGTCCGACCTGCATTACCTGATCTGATTTCGATCAAGGATTTCTTGCCTCGATGGACCAAGTTCAAATGCCGAAATGATTTCCATGTTCCTTAGGTCCGGCTGACGCGTTCCCACCGCCGGTCGTCGTTTGACGGTACCGCCCGAGAAGACAGCCGCGATGCTTGGTAGGAATCGCATGGATCTGGGACACGACGGAAAAGACGAGCTGAACTGCGCTTGGCGCCCGAAACCGAGCCGAACGCGAGACGGTATCCATGTCGGGATCTTGGTCTGGTTCTGGCCGTTTCACTGGCGGACTGAGTGTATGGAGTACGGAGTAGCTGTGGGGAGCTCTGGGGCAGGGCGGCATTGACTCAGGTGAATCCGTAGGTTCCCCTTTTTTCTTCTTATTTTGGAACGATGCGTCTTCTACGATGATGATTATGTCTCATAGGAAAGAATGTAAGTCCTTGATGCTGTGACTTCTGCCTTTTGGGTGGTCATTGGTGTCCCTCTGTCCGTGGCGCGAGCTTCGTGCTGATCTGCCCATATGGAAGTAGGTGTTACTCCGTAAGGTAGTGTAGAAATCAGAAGCATGTGGGGCCGTACCTTGCAGCTTAACATTCACAAGCGTGCCAGCCTATCACGGTGGGTAGTGGTACTGTAAAATGAGATTAACTTCCCTTGGTCGGAGATTCGCTAGTCGCCATAATGCAAAATGAGCCTCCAAGCTCTGGTTCACAGTCTGCAAAGGTATGTAGAACCATGGACAAGCACCGACCCTGGAGGGGGGATGTGGATGGTTGTACGTAGTAGTGAACTTTGAAAGTTTGTCTCTGACTGAGTGCTGTGCTCTTGCGGCGTACCTCCAAAAGTAAGTCGTGCTAATCAATTTACCCGAAGGAGAAAAAAAAAAAAGACTGTGTCACCCGTCTTGGCGATGCACAACGATGCCTGCCAAGCTTTTTCTTCTTTTTCCTTCTGCGAGATGGGGAAGCCCCGAAAAAAGAGCTCGGACGCATCAACTTGACCCGACAGCTCAGGACAGAAAAGGTGGAGAATAATTAGACTAACGTAGATTGGACACGTGATTGAGAGGCAAAAAGGTCTGTGAGAGCGCCACAATACACACTCGCCACTGCTGCGCCACCCTGTTCACCGAAAAGCACCCAATCCCACATCACCGCCGCCAGGCTCCTCACTTGGCGGTCCAGTGAGGTTCAATTGAGCCTCACTTCATACCTGTCCTTTTCGGAGATAAAACCTTGCTGCCTCATTTTATTAAAAAACTCAGACATCAATCTTCGCTCGCTTATAGCCAGACCATCTCATCACCAGGACCGCCGCGAAGCACTTTGCCCGACTCCCATCGCGGCGAACCACGGAACCCGCCACCACGCGGGACATACTCGAAAGCGACGTCACATTACAAAAAGCAACAGCACCATCACCAACACTCCAAATCTCACATCACTCACAAGGAAATGCATCTCTCATATCCCTTCATCACAAGCATGGCAGGCCTCGCCGCCGCCGCCGCCGCCGCCGCCAAACCCCCCTCCAAAGACGCAATCCTCCTCTCCAAAGTCCAATCCCTCACCCTCCGCGGCGGCGGCGCAACAACAACCCACCGCCGCGTCCCCGCCGCGCCCCAGCTCAAGTGCCTCTCCCACCCGTCCCTCTGCAACCTCCACGCCATCGACGTCATGCGCTGCACCAACAACGGCGCCGGCTACGGCCCCGAAGACATCCAGTGGTCCTGCGTCGCCTCCCTGCCCGAGGAGCTCAAGCTCGGGTCTACGGACGTCGTGTGCGAAGGCTACGCCAACGCCGACGACCCCTACGTCCTCCGCGGCAGCTGCGGCGTCGAGTACCGTCTCGCTCTCACGGACAAGGGCGAGAGGCGGTATCCGAACCTGGGCAAAGGCCGTGGTGACGATGACGACGGGACGGATTGGGGAGCCTACGTCTTTGGCGTCATCTTCTTCTCCGTCTTGGCTTGGATTCTCTACTCGGCGTGCGTGGCCGGCACTCAGAATCGAAGGGCTGGTGGAACCGGTCGGCGCCGTGGAGGCGGCGGCGGCGGTGGTGGGCCCGGAGGAGGTGGCGGAGGCGGATGGAACCCCGGCTTCGGTCAAGACGACGATCCTCCCCCGCCTTACCCAGGCACCAAGCCATCCAGCTCAAGCAACCAGCAGGGATGGCGCCCTGGCTTCTGGACTGGCGCGGGGGCTGGCGGAGCCGCGGGCTACGGCGCGGGTTACTTTCAGGGCAGGAACAGCGCGCGGAACCAGCAAAACTACGGCTCGGGATGGGGCGGTGACATGAACAGCGGTTCCGGTTCCTATGGGGCTGGCCCGTCGAGGTCAACCAGCTCCTCCTCAAGCTCGACCCGTCACGAAAGCACCGGATTTGGGTCGACCAGCAGGAGATAGTAAACTTGAAAGTAGGCATAGAGTAATTTGAACGTCATGTGAGCCAGCTCGACTCTAGGTCTATCCTGTCCTCCACGTGGTCTCGTACATGCTCCTCTCGCCCGCCTCCTACAACTAACTAGTTTGTGATCAGCCCCAAAGGGGAGGTGGGGGACACGACATTATGTACATTTTCCGAGGTCCAGGCCGTCTTCCATACACGTAAAAGTACAACGATCCATCATTTCCAATTGCGAGCGTCTTAAAGGTATCATACCATGAAATCCCCTGCCACGGAAGCAAACTCCAAGCTGCGCAAACGTCTTTGAAGCATATCAAAATAGCAGCCGACACGTGAGCCGAGTCGGGTAGTAAGCCGCACAGGAGCGGCTAGTGGTGAACAGACATGACGTCCAGCCGGTCAAAGGCCCTCGAGCAGTTGGGGCACTTGCGCATTCGGTTGCTGATCCGGTCGTCTACACACTGGTGACAGAAAAGATGCCCGCACGTCTTCAAGGCCGTATCTTTGAAGTTGTTGCGACACACTGTGCAGAGTGCAAAGGTCTGCATACAGTTAGCTTTCGTTCTACCTCCGGCATGAGGGTGACTCACTCTGAGCATCTCTTCTTCTTCCGACGAGTTGCTCAACGCCTTGCGTTTCCATTCGTCCTTTTCCTTTTGCATCATGTCGGCGCGGACTTTGAGGCGCTCAACGTCCGCCTCTTGGGTTGTGGTGCGCTCCCTGGCCGCAGCCATGGCGGCGTCGCGCGACTTGACCAAGGTGGTCAACTCGCCAATCTGGTTCTTGTAGGAATCGACTCGGCGCGCCGCGTCAGAACTGCTCGATTCCATCTTCTTGTGCTCTGCAGCCATTGCGGCGTTGGCCTGCTTCAGGTCCGAGAGCTGCTTCTCCAGGTTGCTAATCAGTATCCGGTTTTGCGCCTCCACCTCCTTGAGCTGCGCAACAATCTCGGAACTCTTGCGGTTCTGGCTTCGGAGCACACCAAGTTCGCGGTCTCTCATGTCCGCATCCTTCTTCACTGCAAAGTACTTTTGGTCGACCTTTTGCTTCTCGGCGAGTGCGGCCGCTGCCCGGTCCTCGAGAACCGTGTACTCCATCACCTTCTTTTGTGCGAGACCCATCGATCGCTTGTACGCCTGTTGGAGAGCGGGCAACTCCTTGTTAATCGACTCGAAATCTTGCTGCAGCTTCTTGTACTTTAAAATAAGTTCATCCGCAGGCATGCTCTCCAGTACGGGGTCGGGATCCGCCATCGGCTGGTCTTCGGGCTTCAGACGCTGCAGCTCCAATTCCAAAGATGCAATTCGGTCCTCCTGGGCACCCGTGAGCTCCTTGAGGTGCTGCAGCGCCTGCTTCTCCTCCTTTTCTCGGGTTTCCAGCATGTTGGCCTTGGCGTACCACTCGTCCCGGGCGGCGCGGATTCGTGTGAGGTCTGCGTCGCGCTCCTCGACTTGGCGCTCCAGGTCCGATGTTATCGTCTGCGCCTCGTCGTGGAGCTTGGTCCGGAAGGCCGTCCGCTCCGAGTGCAGCTTTTCGGCCTCTTCTCGCAACTGCTTGTTTGTGGCCTCTAGGTGGTTGACGCGCTTGATCAAGTCTTCGTTCTGGTTCTTGAACTGCTTGAACACGTCGGTCCGGATGAAATCTTCGTCGGTGAGGCCTTCGCGTCGTGCCTTTAGCGCCGAGTTCTCCTCCTGTAGGGTCTTGATATCGGCTTGCGCAGATTCCAGCTGCTCCTTCTGCTTGTTGACGACCGCCGACGCCTCCTCAAACTTGAGCAGTGCCTCGGCAGCGTTACCGTTTGCCTCGGCGGCATCCTGTCCGTTCTCCCCTGTTGCGATTGTCGGCTTGGCGCTGGCTATGAATTGCTGCTCGAGCTTCTGGACCTGCGCGCTCTTTAATCTGTCCATGCGCTTTTCGGCCTTGAAAAAGCGAAGGCTGGCCTTGTTGAGGTCTTCCGATAGCTGCTCATTCTCTTGCTGTGCACGGTCCAACTTGACCAGATATTCCTTTTGCTGCGCAAGCAGGCTGTTGACCCGAGTCTCCAGGTCAGCAATGTTTGGGGTAATTTCTCCCCTGGCATTTGCGATGCGATTGAGCACAGCTTCGGCTCGCTTCTTAATATCAGAGGCTGTCTCGTCAAGATGCCTTTGGAACTCGTCGTTATCTTTAAAATGCGTGCTGGTAATGTACGGAGGGTCTGGATTGTCAGTCTCATGTCGAGGTGGATGCGACAAGGGGACTCACTTGTTGGGCCGGAGGGTGGTGTTGCAGGGTCCACGAGCTGCTCCATCTCCTCTAGAACCTAGTGAGGGGGTCAGCCATGCGACTGAGTCAAGGGATCAATCAAACTGACCTGCTTCCACCATACTTCAATGATGCGGATATGATCCTCGCGATACACAATATTCTTTTGCAACTGCTCGACGCGTGACTCAAACTCTTGCTTTTCCCTTTTTGTTTCTAAAAGTTGCCGGTAAATGGCGCCCTTTTGGTAATTCTGAACTCATCATCAGCTCGCGCCCTCTCCATGTATTCTTTTCGCACCAGACGATGAAAAGCGTGTGGGATGGTCGGATGCGTGGACAGGGAGACGGAGAACCGTCAGGCAGCCTCGTCGCCCTCGACGGCGGATCGAAAGGCCATTCCAGGCCAGTCGATCGTAGTCCGCCAGTGTTGAGCGTGGCTGGGGGCAGTCGATGATCGAGATGTCGCGTCGCCATTGATGGCACAAGGGAATCGCGTAGGGGCCCATTGATTGTTGAGAAAACTTGATGTGTTGGGGAATACGTGTCTCGTGACACTTACCTCGATCCAGTGTTCCTCGGCGTGGTCGCCACTATCGCCCTTGGACTTGCTTCCATTGACGGATTGATGTCGCTTGCTCGGAGGAGCGAGGTCCTCGGCGGTGCTGATGGGGGGTCTCTTCCTGTCCTCCATCTTGGCCAAGGTGGACGGACGCGGAGAGGCAGTCGGGGCTGAGGTCGCTACAGGCATGAGAAAGGTAGGAGGATGCAGAGACGGTGTATGCGTCCGAGGGTCGGGCAAGGGCGATAAAATGCGCTGCGTGGGACAGCTGAACGTGCTTAGGGATTGATCCGAGCCATGCGAAGGTTGACAGAGTCGTGCTGTGCTGATTCGGCGCGGATGATGGGTGAGGAATACTTGGGGCAAGGAGGTTGAATTTTCGAGGTTGAACGCCGACGCTTCACGTTCAAATCAAGCCAGCCGGTCCACTCCCCAAACGGGACTAGCGCTGTGCTGGCCATTCATGGTCTTATCAACCAGTAAGGCGCCCCGCGCGCTGTACTGCACAGCGCACGTACCGGCTAATTGTCGGGTCCCGCATCTACTTATCAGAAGCACTTTTTCTCTGCATCCCACCCACTTCAGTCACTGTCCCGCCGCGATTGGCAAAAAGTCTGGCTCGTAAAGTGACAATCCACCAGATCCAACTTTCAACCTCAGCCCCGATCATGAGGATATTACCGCGCCGATAAAAAAAGAAAGAAAAGACTAGACACAATCGCCATCATGAGTTCCATGTTCAAGAAAAAGGCCGGCATGGCTTTCAAGCCAAAAATGCCCATGGCCCGTCCTCGAGCGCCTGGAGCAGGAGCAGCAGCACCGCAGCCATCAAGGGCCCCGTCGACGACTGCCGCCGCAATTGCGCCCACAGCAGAGAGTAGCTCGAGCGAATCTACCGAAAAGACCGCGCCGTCGACCGCCGAGAAACGAGCCGATTCGAGAGATACGCCCAGAGACGTGCCTACGAGTACCCCGCCATCGACCGAGCCGAGAACGACGAAGGCTGCCACGCCCCAGACACAACCCACGACGAGCGAGTCCTCTACAAAACCTACTTCCACAGTGGAATCAGCTGGAACAGATCAGTCCACAGAGCCGCCAACACAAACTCGTCCACGGCCACCGTCCGCGACGCCCGCTCCTGCTGCAGAGGCTATTGTCAGCGAGGCATCGACACCAGCCCAACTCCAGACCCCGCCCGCTACTGCTCCCTCGGCCGACGTGGTGCCTTCAACAGAGGACGCGGCGCAGACGGCGGCAACAGACGACACATCAAAGACTACCGTCAAGAAGGCACCTGCCAAGCGACCTCGAAAACGAGCAACACAGACGAGCGAGACTGCCGAAGAGGGCGAAGAGGGTGCTGCGGCGCCTAAACCCAAAAGACAACGAAAACAGCCGGCAGACGGGGAAGCCGCGCCGAAACGACCGCCTCGGCCGAGAAAGAAGATGACCACGGAAGAAGGAGAAACGGATGCCGCTACTACTGTCAACAAGCCATCACGACCTCGGCAAGCCCGCTCCGTGACGCCAGAAGATGCGGAGGACCAGGAGGCCGACCTCACCACGCTTACCATGGGCGATTTGACACGAGACTTGCGCATCGGCAAGAAGTTCAGCAGACACGACGAGCTCCTCCAGCGCCACCGCGAGAAGCAGGCAAAGTCCAGAGAGAAACTCAAGGCGAAGAGGAACGGCTCGGAGGATGTGGCTTCAGAGAGCGGGACACCGGCACCGACGAGCGACAAGGCCACGCCGGCAGCCCCTCCGCCGCCGAAACCGACCAGCATGGCCTCCACCGGGCCCCAGTTCCAAATCATTGACGGACAGATTGTGGTGGACCAAAACTCCCTCAGCCTCGATCGACACGCCATCGCCGCTGCGGCCGCCGAGGGCGAGGACATGCTCGAGATTGAAGAAAACGACTTCACGACGCTGACGACCCAGAACAGCTACCGCACGGGCTCCAAGCTCAAGGGCCCCAACGTGTGGAACGAGGAGGAGACGGAGCTGTTCTACCGCGGGCTGCGCATGTTCGGCACCGACTTCCAGATGATCAGCGGCATGTTCCCCGGCAAGAACCGGCGGCACGTCAAGATGAAGTTCAACCGCGAGGAGCGCCACCGGCCCGCGCGCATCGACGCCATCCTCGTCGGCAAGAAGGAGCTGCAGATCGACCTGGAGGAGTACAAGACGTGGACAAAGGCCGAGTACGAGCCCGTCGAGGCCATCATGGCGGCGCAGCGCGCGCAGCAGGCCGAGTTCGACGCCGAGCAGGCCAAGATCAAGGCGGCCAAGGACGCCATCAACGCCAGGAACCTCGCTTCGCTGCAGGACAAGCGCGAGGGCGGAGGGGATGCCGAGGGCGAGGGTTCCGCGGCGGGCGCTGCTGGCGGCGGCGGCGGTGGTGGAAGCGGCGGCGGCGCCAAACCCAAGAGGCAGCAGGCCAACATCGGTCCTCAGATCACGGTTGACGCGGACGGCATGATTACCATTGACGAGACGAACATGGACCCCGACGCGGGACGCAAGAAGAGGGGCGCGGGCAAGACGAAGAAGAAGGCCGTGGAGTACAACATGCGCGGCGAGATTATTCACTGAGCACACGGAGGTGTACAGATCACGCACCGGGGGCCAAGGTCCATGGCATTGTGTACAGGGACTGCTGGCTTTCCCCCGGTCCTACCAGACAGATACCCCTTTTTTTTTTTGCAATTACACCAGGGGCCCTATGGGCAATGAGGCGGCGTTTGGTATTTCAGTGATTCGTTTATTATTGCAGCGAAGGGAACTCGGGAATTAGCGCGAAAGGAACGGCTAGGGAATCAAGACATCCTCGTCTCAGAAGTACATTCCAAAGAATTCAAATCACTTTATACAATCTGACAGAAGTACCGTGCGTGTGCCATCATTCAAGACCACCCAGACTGCATCTGTAACCACCCGTTCACGGCAAACTCAACCCCATCATCGTAAACTACCCCCACCTCCCTCACCTATCAAAATCAAAAACACCAAACCACATAAACACCCCTCTTCCTCATACCACCGCCCAAGGCGAGGGTTACTATGACAAGCACAAGGATACAGAAACAGTGCGTGCAGACGTGAAGAAACGTCAAAAGATGAAATCAAAAATTATACCTGGTACGGTTCCCGCAAAGGAGCCCCACACGGCGAGGGGCACGGCCGCGGTACTCACTCTACTGCGCGGGACAGCAGAAGTGTGTGTGTGCAATGCAGGCCCCCCTCCTCCACGACCCGGTACTCTTGATCTCCGCAAGTCGTCAGGCAGGTAAGTATACAGAAGAAACAGCAACTCGCACATGGACAGGCGAGGTGTAGGCGTTCTTTTCTAGTCCCCATCTGATATGAGGCCAAATGCCAAATGTGTAGAGGCCAATCAGCCCCTTGGACTGACCACTGGGACCAACTCACTTTGGCCTCACTCACATAATCAAATGCGCCACAGGCCGGAAGATGGCACTGAAGAGTTGAATTACCCGGTACTACCCGGCCTGGCTACCTAGGACTGACGCCACGCTCTCTCCCAAGCCAGAACAGGAACAATCCTGGTCAAACACAAGCATGAGCAGTTGTAACCGCGAGTAGCTTGCGACCTCCGTATGCGTTCAGATCATTTCACGCATGTTTTCCTCAGATTGCTTGCCTCCACGCCAGCTCTACCGAAAAAGAATTGCATCATCTACTTCCACGCGGCCACATGCCCGCCTTGCTGATGGGGATACCGCCCTTCCGGACCAGGTATCCTGTGGTCTTTTCCTCACGTCAACGTCGTCGAGCCAACCCCGTCCGGTAATTCCTGAGCCCTGCGTTTCTGTCATAGATTGTGTCGTCATGCGGTCGTTGCGAGTCGGACTTAGTTCTGGGGCGCATCGTCGTCGTCGGGCTGATCGAAGAGGAAGTTTGCGGCGAGCTCCTCGTTCTTGTCGCAGGCAAAGTAGGCCTGGATGGCAGCGTCGCGGTCGAAGCCGAGGCGGCATAACTAAAGTAGTCAGCATCGTGATTCTCATACGATGTCAAGAGAAACCCACCCGCTCAATGGCATCGCGTTCCTCCTCGGTGACCTGAATGGCCTGCGCACCGGGGGGTAGAGGCACATCGTCGTCAACCTCCTCGCCGAGAAGCTGTAGAAACTGGTCGGGGTTGTTGGCGATGAGCTGCGCAAGCTGGGGGTTGCCGGCACCGAGCTGCTGAAGAATAGGCTCCAGCATCTGCGGCTGTTGCTGGACAACCTGGCGGAGCTGTTGGAACTGAGCGTTGTTTCTGAGAAAATCCAGATTGCCGAAGCCACCCTGTGCGGCGGCAGCGGCAGCAGCAGCGGCGGCGGCCTGGGTGTTGCCGGCGGAGGCGCCACGTCCACCACCGCCGCCACTACCACCACGCGACTGGGCAGCGAGATCAAAGAGGTTGACGTTGCCGTCATCACCGCCGGCCGGCGCACCACCAGAAGGCTGGGCGGGGGCCGCGGCAGCGGCTTGTCGCTGTGCTTGCTCCTCCTGGACGTCTTCGGGAATGCCCTAGTCATTGTCAGCGTCCAGCGAACCAAGTCCTCGAGGTATCGGGTCTCACGCTGAGCAGGTACTCGACGGCTCTGTCGGGATTGTAAAAGGCGGCACGCATGGCGGCGTCGATCTGAGCGCGCTCGAAACCCATGGCCTCCATGTTGGCAATCACCTCCTGGCGCTGAGCGCCCATGGCCATTGAAGGGTCGTTGTTGCCGGCATCGCCACCGGTAGATCTAGCGGCCGGAGTCGGCGTAGCGGGAGCCGCGGCCGGGGCAGCAGCCTGAGCAGCGGGAGCGGGAGGAGCAGCGGGCGTGGAGGCGACACGCTGAGCAGGCGTGGCGGGGACGGCGGGCGCAGACGAGGACTCGGCGGCGGGAGCGGGCTTGGGTGCCTTGGGCTGTTGGATCGTCAGTAGGGTAGACTCGAGCAGGCGCGGGTATTGTCGTCGAAGCTACGGACCTTGTTGACCATGCAGACGACGAAGCCCTTCTCCTCAATCTTGTAGGACTCGACCGTGTCGTCGTCCTTGAGGATCTTGCCTAGTATAGCTGTCAGCCGGAGCCATCGCCTTCCTCCAGGTGGCGGGGTTGCCTACCAGAGTAG